CTTCTCCTAGTGCTTTAGCATTCAAAATTTAGTATAAATTTTCCCTACTAAATACCGCCAAGTGAGGATTCCCATGTGCTATAATAAGTGGTAGTGTTTTACTACTACTTAAAAACACTAGGAGAATTTCACCATTTTGGTAGTGATGTACTCCCTCCGTCCAGAAAAGAATGCAATTATGGAAAACGTGTCGGTCCAACTAGTTCAACTTTGACCAAGTTTATAGTAAACAGTATTAACATTTATGTCTCTAAATAAATTTGTTATGAAAATATATTTTATAACTAATCTAATGATACTTATTTTGTCTCATGGATGTTAGTATTTTTTCATCTAATTTTTGTTAAAGTCTAAACTGCTTGACTTCTCGAAACGGGAGAATTGTATTCTTCTATGGACTGAGGGAGTATTGTTAGCATTGTCATACGTGAAAGGAGCATATATATATATATATATATATATATATATATATATATAGTCAATGGAGCGCAGGGCACTGCTGAGATGAGTGATGAGACATGGCAGGCGCCCTTGCTTACCATCGGCCGGGTCGGCTCCTCGGTTCTTGAGCTCTCGGTACATCTGGGAGAGCGCGCATGGCCCGCACCAGAAGTGGACGCAGCAGTCGCCGCACGGCTCCGGCGGCAGGCCGTACGCCGCCCGGAGCTTGCGACGGTAGGTGCAGGAGTAGAGGCAGTGACACGGGACCAGGACCACCCCGGTATGCAGCAGCAGGCAGTAGATCAGGCCGGCCAGACCACAGGCTGATGAAGTGATTATCCACACAACGTACGACGACGCTTGTTAATCAACAAGTTGTTCTTCGATCGTTCCACTTCAGTTCAGTTTGCACAGAAAACAGAGATCGTATCTTACATGTGACGCCCTTGTCTAAGACCTGCCACCTGTCCGAACGGGATACACGGGCAGAAGAACGACAGGCAACCTGCAGCACCACCGTCGGTTATTACCAGCTGTAGCTGGTGAAGTCGTCGTGTTTAATTTGGCTCGCAGGAAAAATTCCACAAGAACTTACATATGTATACGCTTAATAATCTATATGATGTATTATTACTACAACTTGGACTGAAAATTACACAAGAATATAATCTATTATAATTGATTTGTGTTGAATAAGGCTTTAGTTGTTTTTCCAGAAGAAGAATGGCGACTCACAGCTCTTGCAGTCGCTGAAGCAGCCACAGAGGCCGGTGGTCCATGCCCCTGCCGGCGGTGGATACCCGCCGCTCATCTTCTAGTTCTAGCGCGGATCCGAGGCTATAACAATTAACAATCGAGATATAAGTGCGAGTGCATCAGCTTGGCAATTAACCATATTTATAGATGCGGTCTAGAAAGGCCAGGGGCTGTAGGCTACTAGGCTGTCTGTTCTACCAATCAGATTAAAGAATGGATTTCGTTATGCAAAAAATAAACGGACATCTTATTTGTTATTATATATATGCTGGGAGACGGAGACTCCATCGAATTTAATTTGCTATCTATAGGATTTATTTAATTTCATCTCCCTTTGTTCCAGGAGGAAAGTTGTTTTAGCTTTGTCATAAATCAAACTTCATTATCTGGTTTTGATCCAGTTTATAGAAAATGCACAAACATTTACATGGTCGAAACTAGATTTATTATATACACTATTAAATATACTTTTTTGATACTGTACATATTAATATATTTTTCTATAAACTTGTCAAAGTTACACTACATTGACTTATACCATTGTCAAAATGGTTTTCGCCAATGGCATTCTCACCGCTGGTTTTATTCAAACTTGTAAGAAATACGAATCCTATCAAGGTTTTAGTGATTTTGGTTGTTGACTGAAAGCATAACCATTTGGACTAACAATGATTGCGAGTATAGAAGGCCGGAACAATAGTCCACAGAATGCAAAGATGGACTTGAGCTAGTATACAAGGTGAAGATAAAATCAGTATTTTTGATGGTCATTATATGATAAATCCGACCATCAACATATCGGTTAAGTGAAAGACTATATCAACATCATAGTAGCCCAAATGACCTCAATCTGTGGCACAAGCCACACGAAACACACCATGGTGCAATCTCATGTGTTAATCTAATGACAGTTTGATCCTAGGGCTGTCATGAAGCATCCCATGGGATAAAGGGCCCACCATCCATGCAAGAAATCACAAATTGTCGGAGAAACTACCTTCGATACCTACCAACCGCCTTGGAGAAGCATTGAGAAGCGTAGGATCATGAGGGGGTGTATCCCATGGTCAGCCAACCACTTGGGAGGAGTCACTCAACCCCACCTAGCAGGCAAACCGCCTCTCCCTTAGCTAAAAATACCCCCTCTGCTCATACACACCATAAAAAGAGGTGTTGGCACCACTCTCCAAACATCACTCTAGTTACTCTCTCTTTAGTTTAGGTTGGCTTAGTTGGGAGTTAGAGTTGAGTCAAGCATTGCTTGGTGGGTTCTGGAAGTAGTCTTCGGGAGTCTTGTATAGCTCTTATATATTTCCCTTTGTAAGACATTTCAAGTTATCAATATATTATATTTCTACTTTAGTACATCATTTGAGTGCAACTTATTCCTTCCAGTTGCCTTGATCTCTAGTTAAACCATAGTGTTATAATCTTAGTCTTGTTTAGTATAACGGGATCCTTCATAGCATGAGTTTCCTCGCTCCTTAGTGGATGCTCTAGTCTGAGATTAGAGTAGTACCATATAGTGTAAACGTGAGTTTCATAGTTTTTCTAAAATCATGCTCATTCTTTTTTTTTTTGATAAGGAAGAGCTCGTCTTCAAATCATGCTCATATTATGGCGCCTAAATTGGAACTATTTGAGTCTTCTATGGACTTGTTTTGGTTTTTAATTGCCAGTGGATGCACTTGTATATATTATAATTATCTTAGTATAAAACAAGTGTTGTCTGATCATGTTAGTGTCACTTGACTCTATGTATGGCCATGTATAGGAAGCATGCTTTGTTTGTCGTCTAAGTATGGATGACATGACTTATAGATACCACTCCAGAAAAACTAGCAATACAAAACAAATTTTAGAAAAAAGCCTAAGAGATAATAGATAACGAGAGTATCTAATAGCGAGAATAGTCTGTGTCACTTAGCTTTCTACGTAGTTTGGCTGGTCAGCATCAACTAATTGTAATAAATAGCGAGAGTATCTGCTAGCAAATAAACATTAAAAGGAATTCATAAAATATTTTTTAAAAATTCAAACTAGCCACCATAAGATATTTATAAGCACCACTATCAACAATATAAAAAGTCAGTACAGATATATAACGACTGACCGTAAGTCGTTGAAACAGCCTATATACCAACATATAAGGAGAAGTTAAAGATGGGTTGTGGTATAGTGACATATATGATTTTTGAAAAAAAATGAAAGTACTTTGATAAATTCTAATCTAAAACAATTTTAAAACAATTTTTCTATGATTTTTCTTATATTAAACTAGATTTGGGATTTTAAATCGTAAAAATTTTCTAGAAAAAAAACATTTAATATTTTTAAAAAAAAATATTTGTAGTCTGAATTACCCCTAAACCACGAAGTCCAATCTACTGTACACTCTTGTGGTTGACGTGACGTGATGTTGTTTTACAGTTTTAGAAAAAAAAAACCACAGAGTATACAAACAAATGATTTTATATAAAAATTTAAACTAAAAGGGGTTAAAATTCTGGTTTTCTAAAGGGGAAATGGGACTATCATAAAAGTTAATAATTAAAGGAGTCAAAAAGATAAACACTCGCTCTTCTAGGACCAGGCCCAGCCCAGCCCATCCAAGGGTCCGATCAGGCAGCTACTCGCTCAGCTACAGGCCTGCTACACATCTGCTTCCCCCTCCGCCGTCCCCCACCAGCGGCAGCAGCCCTCCCTCCCACACCACTGCCACGCGCCACCAGCCCCGCATTTCATGTCCCCAAGGCCATTCCCCAGTCCTTATCCTCTCGACCCCTTCGTCTGCCGGCCTGGTTTCTCCGCTGCGGTGAAGCTGGAAATGGGCGTGGCCGCTTCTTCTGCCAGGTCCTCTTTGCTCGCTCATGCGTGCGCTTTACATGGATTACTTTCCTCATTTCTCCTGTGCGAAATAATTTCAGTTTCGGGTGTCGATTTGGGTGGGTTAATTTGTCCGCACTGCTTGTTAGTTTAGTTTGTCTGTTGGACTGCAGCGGACGGCCCAGCTGTCCAGGAATTTTAGGTTTTTTATGCATCCGAGGGTTCTAGTGACACCATTGCCGCTTGGCGTATCAGAGTTATGCTGTGTGCTCGAGGCAGGGTGGGTTGGGGAGAAAGGGGGGGCGTATGCTTGAGGGTCGGCAAGATGAAAGATGATTGCGAATGCAGGAAAAATGATGATTGCTGCTTTCACTACCAGTGGCATAGTAGTCTCTAAAATTTTGAAGTACCACCGAATGGTGCAAAACTATTATTTGGCTAGTGCTGTTCTTAGTACCTTGCCAATATCCATCTGTTGATGTCAATACGCCCTTAATATCTTTGTGATTTCGCTGACCAAGCTTCAACATATGGCCTACTTTAGGCTATCTGACAATGGTTTGAGGCCAGTTATGAAGAACTAAACAAAAGTACCCAAAAGTAGTTGCATTTATTGTGACAATTCTGAGTCTAGACTCTAGAGTGGTCAGTGTTAAACTTGATTCTTGGTGCATCCTTTTTGCTATTTTGCTCAATTTATTTACACCAAACAGAGAAAATCGGAAGTAAAGTAAGATGCAGTGTTGCTTGCAAAATGACAACAACAAAATCTGTGGAGAAGCCAACAAATTTTGTCCTCTTTATTACAACCAAACATGGCAGAGCCAGTTGTATAGAGACTTATAGCCTTATAGGCATCTTTTGTGGAGCTAAATATGTTGACTAAAAATCTCATTGTGCTAGCCATTATTGATGTACTACAGTGAAATAACTTATGGTTGACAAGAGTGTATGACGCAGACTGGGTGACAACGACCATGGAAACAATTGATACTCTTTCCGTGCCAAATACAGAACAAACAATAGAGAAAGGAGAAAATGCACAAGCTATCCGTGATTCAGAACAGATGGAAAAGAAGAGAAGGGCTATTGAGTGTATAGTTGCATGGTTCAGTGAAGCTGGGATTCCTTTTAATACTGCTCGTATAGAGTTTTGACTTAATGTTAGAAGCAACTACACAATGTGGCCCTGGTTTACGGGTACGCTCTCTGGATGAGCTTGATGGCCTGCTTCGGAGGCAACTTTTAGCAATCAATGGTTCCATTGAAGCACTGAAAAAATACTGGATGTCCGAAGGATGCTCTATTCTGGCTTATATAGATCTTGGTGATGATGGAAGATGGATGTTAAACTTGGCAGTTGATTGTTCTCATGGTGTGTCATTCCTTCGTTCCATCGAACTACCTTCAGGCAGCTACGACCAAGCATTTGTTTGCCGACTAGTTGATTCTTGCATTGAAGAAATTGGAGAGAAAAATGTGGTGCAAGTGATTGGGGACGTTGGTATAGAGAAGACTGGAGCAAATCTGCCTTGAAAGAGACCGAACATATTTTGGACTCAGTGTGCTGCAAGTTCCATTGATATGATGCTTGAAGACATAGGGCATATTTGTTTAATCAAGAAAACAATCGCTAAAGCAAGATCACTCACAACTTTTATTTATGCACAGACAAATTTGCTGGACATGACCCGCAAGTTCACCAACCAGCAGGATTTGGTTCATGTTGGGATAACCTATTACACCACTTGCTGCTTGAACTTGAGGAGCCTTTATGATAAAAGGATTGAATTGAAGACTATGTTTATTTCTAAAGAATGGGAGGACAGCAAGTGGTCAAAGGAAGCAGTGGGCAAGAAATTCTATAATTTAGTAGTGAGCAATGAGTTTTGGCATAATGTGCTATATGCTATAAATAGTTTTGAACCACTAGTGGAGGTTCTGAGGAGGATGGGGAGTGGCAGACCCTCTATGGGATACATATATGGTGAACTTATGAACGCTAAAAAGGAAATTGCCTTCCGCTTTGAAAACAAGGAAGAGCACTATTTGCCAGTATGGCACCATATAGATTTTAGAATAAATTTGTACATGATGAAACCATTGCACTTAGCTGCTTATTATTTGAATCCTTCGTTCTACTATCAAAACAGACATGAAATTGAAAATACAGAAATATTCAGAGATGCAGTTTTTGAGTGTGCATGTAAGATGTACTAAGATGAGTCTACACAAGAGAAAATTGTGCATCAATTGAAGCTTTACAGCACTGATTCACAGAATTTTGGATTGCTTCATGCCTTTAGTACTCGGATGGATGTTGACCCAGGTAACTTTCTTGCAGGACAGAACATCTAGGCATTTTTTTAATTTGTTTGTCAAGGTTCACAGTGTAGTCTTCTTTAGTATGATATACAAGCTAACTCTTGTCCTATATGTAGTTTCCTGGTGGCAATTACATGATGGTACAGCAAAGGAGTTGAGTGCTACGGCACTGAGGATACTGAGGTTAACCTGTGGCTCACTGGCCTACGAGCCAAGTTGGATTGAAATGGTAACTTAGTGATAAGCTAGTCTCAAACATTCATCCATCAGTTCTTCAACTTATCATAATTTCATTTGTGTAACTCAGACATTTTTTAAAAGTATAATAAGAAATTCTGTTACATTATTCTCTGTTCCTTTTCAGATCCATAAAGAAAAGCCATCTTGGATTAAAAATTTGCAATTTGAGGATTCAATGTTTGTGACCGTCAACAGAAGGATACAAGGGAAAGCTCAAATGAGAGATAGAGATCATGTACTTGCGTACCTTCACCGTGACGACGAACCATTTGAATGGCTGGTGGGCATGTTTCCCTATGAGGCCCAACGACAGGATAATAGGGATTTGCTGATGGCACGAGTGAGAAGCGGAGATGGAGTAGGTCTAGCGAAGTTGGCAAATTATTTATTTATCGAGGCAGAATATGTGACATCCGATGAAGAAAGTGATGAAGAAGCACCAAGTCACTCTATCAAAAGGAAGACGTTGTCTGGTGCTTCACGCTCAAAACGAGAGAAGAGGCCACGGCTGGTCAAAGGTAATCTGAAAGATGATGAGTCCGAGGGATAGCCAATGTATGTATCAGCTTAAAAGGATGATTCATTCAATGGCCTTGTATGTATCAGCTTAAAAGGATGATGCATGGTTTGGTATGTTTTTGTGGTCTGTCAACTCTTAGGCCTTGCGGGCTTTCACTACGCCAGATTCCCTCTGTAGGAACGGGGGCATTTTTACTGTAGGGGCGGCTGGGGTTGGGGGCGCCCCTACAGTGGGCGTCCTCGGGCCCCAGCAGCCCAGCCGCCCCTATAGATGGCACTGTAGTGGCGGCTGGTAACTTGAGCCGCCCCTGCTGTGCCCATTTGTCGTTTTTTAAAATTTTAAATTTGAAAGGTTTAAATTTTGTCAAATGATAAGATGACTAAAATAAAAGTTGTAGATATTAATGAGTTGAACAACTTTGGTATTCATCACTTTTTATGTTGAAAACATTTTGGGTCTCAAATTTTGGTTCGAACTTGTCATTTTTTAAAATTTCAAATTTGAAAGGTTCAAATTTAGTCAAATGGCAAGATAACCAAAATAAAAGTTGTAGATCTTGATAAGTTGAACAACTTTTATATTCATCACTTTTATATCTGAAATCATTTAGAGTTTGAAAATTTGGTTTGAACTTGTCAAATTTTAAATTTCAAAATTTAAAATGTGTAAAACATTATCACATCCAAGTTTGATCAAACTTAAATGCTGAAGCATGATTTTAGAAATTTTTAGGAAAAAAAACCATCACATTTAGAGTTAGTATGAGGGAGAACAACTAGTTACAAAGTTTATCCACAGATTAAAAAGAGAAATCACACTGTTCTAGATGATCCTTACATGATCATAGTGAACAGTGTGATTTCTTTTTTTAATTTGTGGGTCAACTTTGTAACTGGTTTTTCTTTCTCGTACTAACTCCAAATCTGATGATTTTTTTCCTAAAATTTTCTAAAATCATTCTCTATCAATTTATTTTGTTGGTTTTGTCAATATATACATATGAAAAGTTTGAGCAATTTAAATTTTGAATTTCAAAAAAATGCAACTTCAGACAAGATTTTGGTACCCCAAATGATATCAGCTGAAAAATTGATAAATACCAAAGTTGAATAACTTATCAAGATCTACAACTTTTGTATTGGTTATTTCTTCATATGATAAAGTGGTAATGACATTGTTCACAAATATGACACATCTCTCGTAAGGTTTTATAAACTATATGAGACATGTGTAAGATTAGTGAACAATGTGTACTAAGAATTTATCAAATGAAGAAATGACCAAAATAAAAGTTGTAGGTATTCATGAGTTGAACAACTTTGGTATTCATCACTTTTTATGTTGAAATCAATTTGGGTCTCAAATTTTGGTTCGAACTTATCGTTTTTCAAAATTTCAAATTTGAAAGGTCCAAATTTTGTCAAATGATAAGATGACTAAAATAAAAGTTGTAGATATTAATGAGTTCAACAACTTTGGTATTCATTACTTTTTATGTGGAAATCATTTTAGGTCTCAAATTTTGGTTCGAACTTGTCATTTTTTAAAATTTCAAATTTGAAAGGTTCAAATTTTGTCAAATGACAAGATGATCAAAATAAAAGTTGTAGATCTTGATGAGTTGAACAACTTTTGTATTCATCACTTTTACATCTGAAATCATTTAGAGTTTGAAAATTTAGTTTGAACTTGTCAAATTTCAAATTTCAAAATTTAAAATGTGTAAAACATTGTCACGTCCCAGTTTAATCGAACTTAAATGCTGAAGCATGATTTTAGAAATTTTTAGGAAAAAAAACTATCACATTGGAAGTTAGCACGAGGGAGAACAACTAGTTACAAAGTTTACCCACAGATTAAAAAGATAAATCATAATGTTCTAGATGATCCTTACATGATTATAGTGAACAATGTGATTTCTTTTTTTAATCTGTGGGTCAACTTTGTAACTAGTTTTTCTTCCTCATACTAACTCTAAATCTGATGATTTTTTTTTCTAAAATTTTATAAAATCATTTTCTATCAATTTATTTTGTTGGTTTTGTCAATATATACATATGAAAAGTTTGAGCAATTTAAATTTTGAATTTCAAAAAAATGCAAATTCAGACAAGATTTTGGTACCCTAAATGATTTCAGCTGAAAAAGTGATAAATACCAAAGTTGAATAACTCATCAATATCTACAACTTTTGTATTGGTCATTTCTTCATATGACAAAATGGTAATGACATTGTTCACAAATGTGACACATCTCTCGTAAGGTTTTATAAACTATATGAGACATATGTAAGATTAGTGAACAATGTGTGTTAAAAATTTGTCAAATGAAGAAATGACCAAAATAAAAGTTGCATATATTCATGAGTTGAACAACTTTTGTATTCATCACTTTTTACGTTGAAATCAATTTGGGTCTCAAATTTTGGTTCAAACTTGTCGTTTTTCAAAATTTTAAATTTGAAAGGTTTAAATTTTGTCAAATGACAAGATGACTAAAATAAAAGTTGTAGATATTAATGAGTTGAACAACTTTGGTATTCATCACTTTTTATGTTGAAATCATTTTGGGTCTCAAATTTTGGTTCGAACTTGTTATTTTTTAAAATTTCAAATTTAAAATGTTCAAATTTTGTCAAATGACAAGATGACCAAAATAAAAGTTGTAGATCTTCATGACCTCTACAACTTTGATGTTTATCAAATTTTCATTTGAGATCATTTGGTGTCTCAAAATTATTTTTATAGTTTGATTTGATTTCATACAATGATCCACATATAGCGCAAGGCTCATCATCTGGGCCGTCCACCTCGCGATCGGACGACGGGGACAGAGTCTAAATCACACGACGAGGAGGGGGCCGCCTGGAAGGCGATCAGCCGCGGCGCCGCGGCGGTATACAACAGAACCCCCATCCACTACAAGAAATCCTTCTTTTTATGACAAAACTCCTCATGACGAGGACTAATTTCGTCATATAATGTTACATTTTGTGACGAAATTTTTCCTGTCATCACAAACTCACGAGGTTCAGAACTATTTATGACGACATTGAACTTTGTGTCACAGAAAGGTATAAATTTTCGTCACAAATTGTCATTCACCAGCTGCCGGTTGACGGTTTCTTTTTGTGACGCTAGTACCTGTCTTTATGTGACGGTTTTCTGGCGTCACCTTATTTTTTCCCAAATAAAAGATGCGCTCCAACGGCAATATACCCCTGTAGGTGGACCCTACCCATTTTTGTGTTGACTAGTTTCAGTCGTCCCCTCTCTCGTCTCCCCGACCTGGACTGAAGCAGGCGGCGGTGGTGGATATCCGGCGGCGGCCCCTAGTCGGAGCGGAGGGCGGCGAGCGGAGGGTGGGTCGCGGCATCTGGGCAAGCCTGGCCGGCATCGAGAGGGCTTAGGGCGGAGATAGCTTCACCTCTCCCCAACTGACGGCGTGGCGGCCTCTAGGCGGAGGCAGCTCAAGATCCGCTGCAAGCGTGGCCGGCGGAGCGCGGATCTCCGGTGACCGGTGCCACTCCATCACCTTGTAGTCCACGTGCTCCTACTCCCCAGGTGCACATGGTTGGCAGTGCCACCGTCATTCCCCTCCTGTCCCCCTCCATTTGGTTGGCAGTATCACCCTCATCCCCCTCCTTGCTCCTCTTTGTGTTGCCATTGCAGTTCCTAATCAATCCCCTCTCTCTTAATTAGGGCTAATGTCACAGGTTCATCATCTAATGCTCGCAATCGTCGTTCAAGCGCAGCTAGGAGTGCCCAGGAACCCGGACCCCTTGCTGTTGTGGATGCTACGCCTCTGGCCAGTGTCGTCGATCTGCAGGCACCGGTCGATGATGTGACTGGGTTGCCGTTGATTAGATGCCCAGATTACAGGGATGTTAGGGTGTTTGCTGCCACGATAAAGTCTGGGTCTAACAAAGGAAAGAGATTTTTCAAGTGTCCTAGGAAGAGCTATGGAAATGTCAGTGCAGTTGCTCAATTTGCATTGCCCAAATTTTATTCTTGTTTGCCCTAATTTCATTCCCTGTTGTTGTAATTTGGATGCAGGGGTCATGTTCTAGGTATTGGTTCGAGGAAGAGTATGTGGTGTTTCTTGTTGATAATGGATACCTACCGTCAGTTCACCCAACCATTGCAACAACTTCGACAATAGATGTTCCTGAGCTTGTGGGAAAAATTGAAAGCTTAGAGGAAAATCTGAACAAGGTCAAGGAGATGGTTGGCAAGAACAGGGAAGGCATAGGAAGCTGCATTTGTCTTGTGTGTGGTTGTGTGAATGTAACAATATTCCTTTTGTTGGCCATCTTCTTGGTTGTAGTTGTTGTGTTGAAGTAGGCAATTGTGATGAAGTGTGGGCCTTTGTGTTTTGTCTGTAATGTTGACAAAAGCTGTAGTGTTGGCAAGAACATGTTGAACCTATTGTGCTGGATGTATGTGTTTGGCAAGACATGTATGAACTATGGGCCTTTGTGCTCTTGGACCTCTCTTGTGTGCATGAATATGTAACCTGTGCAATTGTGATCTGTGTTTGATATGTAACCTGTGTGGGATGAAATTTTGGCACAATGTATATATTATGACAATTTTGTAGTTTCCATGACATTGTCTTTGGTCATAATCTCAGAAATATAACCTGCTCCAGATTTTTTGGGCATTCCATGACAAACTTTGTATTTTACATGACAATGTCATGTGTCATATAAACTTGCAGCCTGTTTTCTAGGCAACAGTATATACATATATAATGTCCATGAAATCTGGGCAGCATTATAGCCTGAGTAACTTGCATCATGAATAAAATATCCATTGAAACATAACCATTGCATATAATGTCTTACAACAAAATAAGGCACATAAAGAAGTTCATGGTTCACAAATACAACAGAATGACTAATAGAAGTTCATGGTTCAGAATTACAACAGAATCACTAATAGAAGTGGATGGTTCACAAAAATCTCTAGAAATGCAAAGTTTAGTCATCATCACTGTCTTCATCTGACATATTGCCTTCATCTGGACTATGGTACTCAAGGAAGGTTTCATCTTCGTCATCTTCATCTTCGCCGTATGTTTCTTCACCTTGAGCTGTATGTTCATGTCTACGGATGCTCTCGACAAGGTCTCTACTGACAGGGCTGCCTGGCTGATCCATGTGCAGCAAATCCATTTCAGGATAAATGTCCCCAACTATACCATCTCTGGAAGAAGTATTCTCCTCTTGGTATGCCTCCTGACATCTCATATGCACTTGTTCATGGATTGGTTGGTTTGTGTTGGACTCTTCTACATCAAATATATGTCAGTGGCCAAAATCTTGTACCACTCGCCATGATGGACCTAACTTGTTATCTTCCAAGAAAAATACTTGTGAAGCTTCTGTGGCTAGAATGAAAGGATCATTCTTATACCATCGGCCTTGGATGTTAATGCTCTTGAAATAACCATAATCTTTCATCTGGTATGTCCTTCCCTCAAGATTGTAAAATTCACACCGCAATAAGATAATAGTTCTATTCCCTTTGTTGTTCTTAGCATAAGTCAACTCAATAATGTCTGTGATTGTGCCATAGAAGTCAATAGTGCCATCATTGTGAGTACCCTCAGTTTTGATGGTGGAGTTTTGTGTCTGCCTATGTTCTTCACGAGCCTTAGTGTGGTACCTTACCCCATTGATTATACATGCTGTGTATGAACGCACATGGTTGATCGACTGACATGCAAGTGAGTATAGGTCTTCATCAATGTCAGTTGTGCCTTCGCATTTCAATCTGGTAATCTACAGGTTGCAAAGATAGAGAATTAGTTACTTTGAAAATATACTGAATCATAAATCATTTAGTCAAAGGTTCTTAAGTTGCACACACATGTTTCTCGAACCATGCAGCGAATTGTGTTGACATCACTTTTTCAATATCATTCACCTGTTGGTGTTCTAATTCTTCCCTGTACAAGCTGCAATAAAGGAATAAGTTAATTAGTTTTTGTGACACCAATATTGAATAAAGTTATATGCAATGACATCACAACAATTACTCACTCTTTGTATTCATCAACCTCTTCGCAATTATTTAGAACAAACCAAACCATAGAGTCATAGTCTTTATCTTCGTAATGTAACTTTGAAGCACCCAATAGGTTAATACCATGTGCAAAAATAGAGTAACCATTGGGTGACATGTCTCCATCTAAGTTTCTCTCGGGCCTAGTGAACCTATTAATAATGTCACTGAAATATGTTGAGCACTGGGTCATACACTCATAGGCAGTGTATGCCTCTACAATAGATCCTTCTGGTCTTGCTTTGTTGCGGATGAAACGCTTAAAGATGACCAATCTTCTCTCAATGGGATACATCCACCCGTACTGAACTGGTCCCCTAAGGAGTGCCTTATCCGTTAAGTGTACTGCTAGGTGAACCATAACATCGAAGAATGCAGGAGGATAAATTTTCTCCAACTTGCAAAGGATAATGACAATATCATTCTTCATCTGGTGTAGTGCATCAGCCTTTATAGTTTTTGAGCAAAGTTGTCTAAAAAACCTCCCCAATTCAGCAAGTACTTCATATACATCTTTGCGCACCAAACCACGAAGGGCAGCTGGTAAAATACGCTGAAGCAGTATATGACAGTCATGTGTTTTTAGCCCATGCATTATTCCTCCCTCCAGATTGACACATCTTGATATATTAGAGGCGTAGCCATCTGGAAATTTAACATTGCTCACATACTCCAAGAACTTTTTCTTTGCCTCCGGTGTTAGAACATAACAAGCTTTAGGCTTTGAGGAGTCTTCCACCAAATGAAGCTCTTTTCTTATACCTCTATCTTCCAAATCTAGTCTAGCAGCGACTGTGTCCTTTGTCTTGTGAGGAATATTAAGTAGAGTTGACAAAATGTTGTCACATATGTTTTTCTCTATGTGCATAACATCAAGGTTGTATTGTAGCTTCAATTTTGACCAATATGGCAAATCATACAAGCTAACCTTCAAATGCCAAACTGGTTCTCCATTACGGCGTCTTTTTCTTGATTTTGGCATATCTGGATTCTTGCCTGGAACATAGCTAATTTCATCTAACCTTGCCATAACCTCATCTGCACTAAATTTCCTTGGCTGGTCTCTATTTTCATGGTGGCCATCAAAAGTTCTATTTTTCCTCCAGGGATGGTCATGTGGAAGGAAACGTCTATGTCCTATGAAACCAATCTTGTTTCTCGGGCATTCAGAACATGGATTCTCATCACAATGCACACATGCAAAGTAACCCCTTGTGGTTCTGCCTGACAAGGTGCCTAATGCAGGGTAGTCATTGATTCCCCATAGAATCACTGCACGCAGTCTGAATTCTTTGCCTTCAACAGCATCATAAGTAGGGACACCACCCCAAAGAGTAATCAAGTCTGCTATTAGAGGCTGCATGAACACATGGAAATCTTTGCTCGGTGATTTGTTGCCTAGAATTAGCAAAGCAAGCATATAATTGGATTGATCCATACACATCCATGGTGGCCAATTGTATGGAACCACTATCACTGGCCATATGCTATATGAATTGGTCATCTGCCCAAATGGGTTAAATCCATCTATAGCAATGGCTAACCTCAAACTACGGGGATCATTTGCAAAAGACTTGAAAGTCTCATCAAATTCTTTCCAAGCTTCCCCATCAGTAGGATGTCTCATTTCATTCTCAACTAGTACCCTCTTTTCCTTGTGCCATCTTGCATATTGTGCCCGTTCCTTCGACATAAAAAGCTTCTGAAGGCGTGGAATAATTGGAAAGTAACGAAGGACCTTGTGAGGAACTTTCTTTCTGCCCTCCTTGTTCACTTTCCATCGTGTGAATCCACAAATTGGGCAACGATCATCACCTTCATGGTCTTTCCAAAATAAGGCACAATCATACTTGCACACATCAATAGAAACATAACCAAAACCAAGCTTCTGAAGCAGAGCTTTCATTTCATTATATGACTTAGGAAGGCCGGGCACATTCTTCAAAGATGATGAAAGCAATGCAAGGAATGCATCGAACCCAGGGGGGACGGGCGACGTCTGCAGGGGCGAGGGGCGGTGGCTACACCTGCTGAAGAGAGGGGGGCTAAGGTGGCGTGGTCAGCAGTGGTGAGGTACCACGGTCATGGCGGTGGGGTCGGAGGGGTGGCCGGCGATAGTGGCTGAGCGGCCAAACTCAGTGACGGGTTCTGTGGCCTATGCTCTGATTCAGCACAAGTGAAGCACCCTTCTACATATGACATGTGGGCCCAGTTCTTATTTAGGCTAGTGCCAAGTGGACCAGCGTTTCAATGACATGTGGGCCCAGATGTTCATCAGCTCCCACCATTTGTTCAAACGTTTTGTTTTTTAAATCTGTGGCAAAATCTTGTAACAAGTTTTTCTCCTACATACTATCTCCAAATCAGACTTTTTTTCCTAAAATTTTCTAAAATCATGATCTATCAATATGGTGAGTTGTTTTCGGCCATATTTTCATGGTGCAAACTTTGATCAAAGGAAGAAGTTCAACTTTTAAAAATTGCAACTTCAAACCAAAATTTGAAACTCCAAATCACTTCGTCTGCAAAAGTCATGAATACGAGAGTTGAACAACTCATCAAGACCAACAATTCTTATTTTGGTCATTCGGTCATCCGACAAAGTGATAGTAAAGTAGTTCATAAAAATTACATGTCTCACTTCTAGTTCATGAAACTCTAACTTAGATTGTAGAATTTATGAACTACTTTACTATCACATTGTCGGATGGACAAATGACCAAAATAAGAATTGTTGGTCTTGATGAGTTGTTCAACTCTTGTATTCATGACTTTTGCAGATGAAGTGATTTGGAGTTTCAAATTTTGGTTTGAAGTTGCAATTTTTAAAAGTTGAACTTCTTCCTTTGATCAAAGTTTGCACCATGAAAATATGGCCGAAAACAACTCACCATATTGATAGATCATGATTTTAGAAAATTTTAGGAAAAAAATGTCTGATTTGGAGATAGTATGTAGGAGGAAAACTTGTTACAAGATTTTGCCACGGATTTAAAAAACAAAACGTTTGAACAAATGGTGGGAGCTGATGCACATCTGGGCAGCCCACGATGTGTCACCGACAAATCGGGCCCATGCGTCAGCCCAATTTTTCACTTCCGCACCCGCGCTCTACTGCTCGCTGACACATGGGCCCCTCCCCGCCTCCTGCTCAAGCCATCCAAAACCTCCTCGCCTTATCCTCTTGCCCGGTCAGCAATCTCCAATCTCCATCCCCGCCGCCGCCCCGCCTCCACAGAGCCCGCCGCCACCAAACCGCCCGCCTCCGCACCTTC